TCTCTGAAACTATTTCTTGATAACAACTAACTTGGGAAATTTTTTACTCCACTGCTCAGATAAGTGACCAAAGTAATGTTCTTTCTCTCTAAGTATCATTGGCTACCAATGACCTCTATTTTAGTGAAGGATGGTGTAGCCTCAGATTTTCTTGAATTGAAAGACTAAATTCTGGATCCAACAGTCCTAGATACTTAATGCCAAAAGAACAACTGCATAGAAGCCCGCAGAAGCATTCACACAACTCGGGGAAAAAATGAAATGTAGCATTACTTCAGAAGATTTGTGGTTTGCATTGCTACCAGAGACGTTCACAGGCAGAACTTATAGCTGGCAGATGCTGGGCACAGAAAAAGCTGCTTGTCTATTATTGCTAAAGAAATACTTACCTTTTTAAAAAGAGAGATCACACATGTACAACATGGCAGTTATTGTCCTGGTCAATGATCTAGACAGGTATCTAATCTTGGTTACAACTAGGAAATAATAGTTCATCAAGATGGAGTACAGGTATGTTAAACATAAAACAACAGGTTCAGGTCAAAGGAGTGAAGGAGATTATCATATTCATTTTATTCCAGAAAGTAATCCCTGCATCTACATCAGTTATACTAGTAACCCCTGGGTGGACATTTTCAAATACAACATACATCACAATCTAATGAAAACCATTTATATGACCCTTGACTTATAAGTCAAAGAAAAACTTTAAAAAGAAACAAATACGATTTTTTGTGAAGCTATCTGGCAAAATAGATAAAGTTCCTTCATCTGTGGAATACAAGCAAATGAGTTCTAAGTAAGGCTTGTAAGAAGAACAATGTTTATCCTCTTCAGATAGTAGACATGACTGAAACCAAGAAGCCAAGGTACAAATCTTGTTCAACATTGTGGGGAGTGCCATCTTTCAAGGGAAATATGAAAGTATTTCCTTCTGTCCTGCAGGCTTTGCAATTAATTACCTTATAACAGTCTACCAAGAGTAATACATTCCTTTGAGCCCATAAGTCTCAATTATTATAATTCCCTTCCAGCAAAGCTTCTGACATTGCCTTTTCCTTTGCTGCAACTTATGGAAAGAGCACTACAGAGTCATAGATTATCTCCTGTAATTAGAAATAGAATTCAAAAAGAATTCAGAGTATTTGTTTCTTTGTTTGTCAGGGTTTGTTTAGGTGGCATTAGAGATCACTCCAGATGAATGATTTCTTGATGCCATTCACACATATCTAGCCCCACTCAACCATATGTTCAAAATCTCTTGGACCTAATATGGTAAATAAATGACATGACACTAGCTGAGTGGAGAATATATTTTCAATATAAATATAACCTCCAGCAAGTACAAAAGGATGATTTTTCTACCACAGCAACCATGGACTTTAGAGTAATAGAAAAGTGTTTTCCTGTCAGCCCTCAACCCAAAGTCTAGGACTCCTAAAATGCCTCTTCTTCCAAGGCTTCCGCAGGCATTTTCTGTTTACCAGCTGTGGTGGCAAAAGAGCACATTCACAGTCAAGAGGAACCACATCCTGGAGACCCCACATTTCATGCATTTAAGTAAAAGGAGCAATAGTTAATATTTAATGAGGGCTTACTACAAAGCCAGCCACCACTCCCATGAATGAACTCATTTAATCCTCATGATACCCATATAAAGTAAGTGCTATTGTACCCCATTTCATAACAAAGATAAAACAAGTCTTAGCATGTCTACTCTCAAACGGCTAGTAAATAGCAAAGCTAAGATTTTAACCCTAAGTCTTAACCATTAACCAGGGGAACAGAAATATAATTAAAAGGGGAAATGAGCTCTAGTCACTTTTTCAGGCAGTTTAGAAATACCTCATTTCTAAAAAGCTTCATACCTCACACAACACATTTTGTAAAAGGAAACGAGACTCAGAGAGATTTAAGTTAGTACCCAAATTCACAAAGCCAGCAAGGGACAAAGATAATATTCTTTATACTATATCACACCACCTCCCTACAGCTTTAAAGACCTGACTGAATGGCAGACACAGAAGCAGAAATCTATATTGGTACTGTTATAACAAAGTGACTGGTAGAAGCTGTCTGGCAGGGACCCTGATAGGACATAGTAGAGAATCTGTAGACAACATAAAAACAGCATAACCAAAGAGGAAGAGGGCCCTTGGGGTGAGGAATCTGCGGCCTTGGGGCCTTCAGGATTTGTTCTGTAAAATTTGGATTCAGTCAAAAGGCTGCACTTGAGGATATGGAGGGCCACATGTGGCCCCAAGGCTACAAGCTCCCCACCCCTGCTGGGTGTGTTCATGTGTGTACCTGTGCGAAACTGTTTGGTTCATTCTATGAAATTTTGAGTTAAGCTTACAGTGGTTCTCAACTAGAAGTATCCTCTACTAAAAGATGTTAAGAAATGTACAAGGGCAGTTTATTGTCCTCATGAGGACAACAGAGGATGCTATTGGCATTTAGTGGGTATTCAGTGGCATGCTAGAGGATGCTATTGGCATTTAGTGGGCATAGAGTAGGGATACTAGGTGCCCGGCAATGTTGTGTCTGCACAACAAAGCACTATCCCACCAAAAATGCCAGTACTGCTCCTCCGACATTAGGAGACACTTAAAGGAAATCTTTTAGGCAGTGTTAAAAAATAAAACATGCCATCCCAATGAACTTAATCAACATTTGTTGTCAAGATCATGGTGCCCCAAGTGGGCAGAGGAAGTAAGCAGGGGCCACTGTAGACAGGTTCTTGACCAAAGTGCATTCCTGTTTTAGATGCTACTGCATCTTATATATACAAAGATGTAAAGTCTCGTTATTAATAATATTAAGAAAAAAATATATGAGACTCAAATTTTGAATGAAAACTAATTTGAAAACTAGTATTGTAATGAGGCACACAAAAGGATATACAGAACTACCTTTGTTAAATTGCCTGATTAGTGTGAGTGCCACTTAGGAAAATTTAACCAATTTTACTTAAGAGTACTAGGGCCAAAAACATGCCTGCACAAACTTCTGCCACTCTTTTTCAGATAGGCCAAGTCATTAATTGATCTCTTAATAAAATAATTTAAAGAAAATACATTTTACCATCTACAGACTCTCTAAACTTAAAACTAAACCATCACCTTTAATGGTAACATACCTAGAAACAAGTCGGTAATAACACTGATTTTTAGCTAACTGAAATAAAGACAGGAAAAAATAAAGCACCAAAAATGTTCACCCTAGAATACAAGAAAATATTTTGGAAGGCATAAAAAACAGCTCCTATTCCAAATATAATTGATTAGAAAGGTACAAAACTAAAAGTAAAGTAAAACAAATGAGGCAATTAGCAAAAACTTGTTAATCAAGTCTACAAAGCAATGCTGACATTATTGTGCAATTATCCTCGGATTTCCAATTTGCCAGTCACCTTGGTTTAGTTTATTTGGCACCTCTTGACTCTCATAAAATCTTGTTGGCACATTTACATAATCAAAGTATTAGTAGTAGTAGTAGTAGTAGTAGTAGTAGTAGTAGTAGTCGGCGTTACTGAGCACCTGCTGGGTGTGTGTGAGGAGCCAGAAATATAAATCTTTGCTATCGGTCTACAGAGACTAGAGATGTGTAAGAAAAATAATAATCAACAATACAAGAATACATGCTAATTATGGACATTGAACTCAATGCCCTGTGGTATCTGACAGACTGAACCAGAGGGACTTTCAGACAGGGTAGATGACTCTACCCCTAACCTTCATCATTAATAATTTACAAAGTGAGGGTACCAAATAAATTGCCAAGTCAGTAAATATGAGAGTTCAGAAGACTAGATGACTAAGAAAAGTTAGTAAGGATTTCAGTTATCAGACTTCAAGAGAGCCTTTCAGAAAAGGCTGGCTTACATATGCAAACAATTAATTATTGTTTTATGGTTTAAAAATAATAGTTTTACATAGTTTAATATTTGGGAACATTTTGGGGGGCGGTCTCGCAAAAACATGACTGAGAAGTTATCACTGAAGTGCACTCCTGAAAACCTCAGAACTCTAGAGCTTGAATCATACATAAGAGATCTTTTCTAACAAGGCTTAAACCATTTTTCCTAAACTTTGTTTTGCACTACGAATGGTTTTTAACATTTTCCAAAACGCCTTATTAAACGTGGGGCTTTTTCCCCAATTGGTTAAAAAGAATTAACGAATGTCATAAGGCATATTTGGAAGATGGTGACAGGGATTTCCCAGCTTCGGAAATGTTGGAAGCCGCTGATTTAAAAGCATCCACAACAGATGGCTCCACTCGGGTTCTCTATCCCCGCTGTTACATCTTCATTTCAAGCGGAAAAAAAGACATAATTACTTGTAAGTCTTGAAACCCTGGACAGGGTAGAAAACACTGGCTGTCATTTCTTTATCTTATTTTTAAGTGAGTTTTATACAAATGCACTAACCAATTCACTTAACAGTAAAACACTGGGCCGTGTGAGAAAGCCCCGCCACTTCGCTCCTCTCCCTCTCAGCTCCAGCGTGACCGCCACTCCCTCAGCAGTCCGAGGGCGGGAGGCCTAGACGGTGCATCCTGGGAGTCGTCGGCAGCGAGAATTGTGGGAAATGTAGTTTGGCGACTCCGCCCTCCTCGCCATTCCTGTAATGGCTGCTCCCTGGAAGGTAATGTACGAACTCGTCTCCAAAGGATACTTAGATTGCCCCAGTATATTTGTAAAACAAGGGCAAATTTTTACCTTGCCGGACCAAAGTAGGGATTCGTTTTCAAATATTAATGTCAAGGACTGGGATGAACTTGTCCCTCAGTTCGATTTTTGGCTTTTCTTGTGTGGGTGAACTGACCAACTTTATGTCTAGTTCCCCCTTGGACAAACTGTTTTCTGTACTCATTACATATTCCTCTCCCTTCCGTACAGCCTCTTCGCTCTGTACTGACTCAAGCTGCCTCTTTAAAATAATGAAAATAATAATAGTAATAGTTAATTTTTAAATTCTTCTCTTCCCCGCCCCCCAATAATTGGCTGTGTCACGTGGAACCTCTTAGCCTAATATCCGGAGCTCCAGGAAGGGAAAAATTTCAATTCAGATAGAATTACATATACACCATTTCTTTGGTAAGTCTTCTTAATTCTCCACAACTTCACAGAGTTAAATGTTGTGTGACTTTGGCCAGATTTATCTACATTTCCTGAATGGGAGAAACCCTAAGAAGATGTAATTATTGCCAGCTAGGATTTTTTAAGTTGACAATTGAGTGTCTTGTGTCTTTTTTTTTTCTGTTTGTTCTTCATTGTGTATTTCTGTTCAATTTCAGTTTGGTTGATACACATAGTGTTGACATTACTGTGGAAAAATTGCTGGGGTTAAGGTGTTATCATGAAATGATTAGCCTCAAATGACTGTCTAAGTACTTTTTACTTCCCTCAGTTTTTTCCTCTGTAAAATGAGGAGATGGATCTGAAATGATTCATAAAGTCTCTAAAAGATTGAGTGAACTGTTATTTATCTTGTATTTATATTGCCATTTGAAAATGTAGGAATTTTTAATCTTTCCCTTTTGTTTCCATGTTTAATTTCTAGGAGCCTTCAGCCCTCCAGATCCCAACATCATGACTTCAGTTTCAACACAATTGCTGTTAGTCCTCATTTCACTGCTTTTGGTGCTGCCTGTTGTTGAAGCAGTGGAAGCTGGAGATGCAATTGCTCTTTTGTTAGGCGTGGTTCTCAGCATTACGGGCATTTGTGCTTGCTTGGGGATATATGCACGGAAGAGAAATGGACAGATGTGACTTTGAAAGACCTCCTGAATCAAACCTTGCCCTAAAAACCTTTGTGCTGTTGAGGCTAAACCCGAGCTTTGATGTCTGAAAGTTTCCAAGAAACAATAAATAGGGGAGTTTCATATTCTTTGTTGTTTCCCTTAAAATGGGAACAACTTGATATATAAATGAGAAAATGTGTTTTCTTTACAACAAGTAATGCACTAATAAATGCAGCCTATAATTTGTATTTGCTGATTAGAAAGGGGGTCAAAGAAGTAAGATGGCTGAAATTTACATAAGAAATATTTCATAGTTTTAGCATTTTCAAACACGTGAAATAGGAAGAGGGAAGCTTTTACCCAGAATCCTTAGATTTTTGTTTTATCTCCCAAGTTAATATTGTATTTAGATATCACATAGCCAAAAATTGAAACGTTTATCTCTGGGTAAAAAACATTTAGAAAAATGTATTTGGTGTATCTAATATTGAAATGGAAAAAAAGATTTAATGTAAAGAAAAAAACCTTTATATTAACACTGAAATAGATCTAATGTAAAAAAAAATTTTATATTAATTGAGTAGCATCCTCATTGTGAGAAGTACTATATTAAATATAAACCCATTATGTTGTAAGTTAATGTGTGGTGTGCATGTCTGTGTATTTGGGATTATTTTTATGTGTGGACTTTTATGTGAGCTAAGTAGAGGTGCCCTACCTTAACTGACCATACTAGCTTGAAGAGACACAATCAGTGAAAAAGGAGAACTGGGCATCTTTGAGATACCCTTGGTAGAAAATCTGTAGATACTGAAGAAAAATGTAATACCGCTTTGCACAACACATCAAATGAGACACACCCTTTCCAACCGAGCTACCTAAAGTGTCCTGTTGCTAGCAACAGCACCTGAGAGCTTGTTAGATATGCAGGATCTCAGGCCTCACCCAAACTAATTGGATCAGAATCGACATTTGTTTTCAAAGCCTAAGATGATTTGTGTGCACTTTATAAGTTTAAGAGGACTACTCTAACTTGCCAGAGCCCAGGAATCATTTCAAGCACTTTATAAAACTTGTGAATTCCCAAGTCCCTGTCCTGGTTGTGTAGTTGTGGGTTGGAGCCTGAAACTCTGTGTTTAACAAGGCTCCTCAGTGATTCATTTGATTCTGAAATTTCAGACAGCATAAAGTAATCTGAGTAAATCAAACTACTTAAGGGTTTCACTGGAAGCAGGAAGTCAAATTTTTTCCTAAAATTCATTTTCTAATCTTTATCTCTTGAGATGACATTGGGAGCCTCAATTTCATCAGAAGACAGGCAGCAGCAATCTAAAATCCTGGATACAGTGTATTTCTCCAAGTGTGAGCTGACCTGGCTTCCATGAAAGATCTGCTAAAAAGTATAAGGAGTGAGGAAGGGGCACATTATAAAGACATGGAAACCAAATGGACTTGTTTTTGTCATAGCCGTTTGTCTTTTTCGCTAGAGAAAGCACTAACATTCTTTATTCAAACAAATCGGCAGTTGCACATTATGTAATTAATAGAGCTTGATTGTGCTCTTATTTTTTTTTTTTTGAAAAGGAAAAAGGAATGATACAGATTGTAGGACAGTTGTCATGCCTTATAAACCAACCCATTGGTGGTAATGTAGAGAGACTGCTGTTTCTTCTTTGCTAGTCTGAACTTTTCCATTAGAATGTACCTAAAGTACATTTTAAAATCACAATGCAGTAGTCATTTAGTCAGCTCCAGGTACTATTTTTAAAATATTCAAAATAAGACTAGGCAAACATTCTTTAGTGAACAAGTATTCCAGAAGTGCCTAGAAGGAATTAGAAAACTGCCATTTTCCTATTTTCTCCTTAAAAGCAGAGAATTATCCTGAGGTGGCATGCGGGAATTTTGATAGATATAATGGGGAACACCTCCTCTAAAAATAGCCTCATTTCTCATCTATCTAGGTTGCATTATATGGTTTTGCCTGAAAAGAATAGAAACCTTCATAGTGGCTCTTAACCTTTTTTAAGCCACAGGTTCCTTTGAGAATCTGATGAAAGCTATTGTCCTTTTCCCTAGCAAAATGCTCATGCATGAGGGCATTTTTAGATTAATTTCAGGGAGTTTTCAGAGCTGAAGCCCACCCAGGATCCTTCCAATTCTAGAATTCCTCGATTTGCTGTGAGGGATAACACTTGCTGTGGAACAGTTACAGCAAGAATGAGATTGACAGATGTCCCCCAAGTGCCCAGTACAATTTGTAGGTGTCTAGTAAATGCTCTGTGTATGTGAGCGCAGTTGAGTTCAGTTAAAAAGGCAGAAGACTAATAGTTGAAACCAACAAGTGAAGAATTTAAGGTCTTTGCCAACACTTATATTTCTATTTTCTATAATTTTATGGTTACCAGCCTGTTCCCTTAAGGCTAAAAATCAGTACCTATCCTGCATTATTTCTCTCTGACTGCTGTCATGACTTTTCTTTGTTTTTAGTTTTCAGAAGTTTGTGATGTATCTTGGCATGGATATCTTTGGGTTTATCCTGTTTGTGTTTCACTCAGTGTCTTGAATCTGAAGGTTTATGTCTTTTCTCAAATTTAGGAAATGTTCAGCCATTGTTACTTTAAAAAAATTTTCAGCCCCATCCACTTCTTTTCTTCTAGGACTCCAGTCACCTGATGTTAGAACTTTTCTTGTAGTATCTTCTGCTTCTTTGCTGAGACTTTCTATTTTTTCATTTGTTTCAAACATGTTTGTGATTGTTCATTGAAGCAACTTTCTGATGGCTGCTTCAATATTCTTGTCAATAATTCAGTGTAATTTCAATGTTAAGTGTATGTTGATTGTCTCTTCTCATTCAAGTTGAGATCTTCCTGGTTCTTGTTATGAAGAGTGATTTTCAATTGACATCTGCACATTTGGGGTATTATATTAAAAAGGCTGTGGATCTTATTTAAATCTTGTATTTTAGCAGGCCTCCTCTGACACCACTCCCTCGGGGGAAGGGAGGATGCCTCCTCACTGCCAGATGGACGTAGAAGTCTAGGGGGGCATTTCATTACTGTTTCCTATGTGCCCTCCACTGACTCTAGGGGATGGGGTATCTTGTTACCCTGGGTGGGAGTGGAAGTTCGCCACCCAACCTGGTCTCCACTGGCACCAGGTTGGGGAGGGGACTTATGACTACCAGCTGGTGGGTATGAAAGTGCCAGCTTCCCACCTGGCCTTCTCTGATACCACCCCAGTGAGCTTGAGACATCTCTTATAGCCTGATGAAAGTGGAAATCGTAATGCTCCATTCAGCCTTTATTGATGATGGGGGTAGGACCTTAATTCTTTCTGTGGTGTTTGTTTGGAGTAGAGCAATTATTGTCTTAAAGTTTTCTGTTTTGCTAATCTCCTTTTCTGGTCCTTTAACTAGAGAGAATGATCTTTTCTTGGTTTGTTTTTGTTGTTGTTCTTGTCTAAGCCCAGTGGTGTTTCTCGGCTACCAGCTTCTCCACTACCCAACTAAGACATAGGAGGAAAAAAAAATCCAGCAAATTCACCACATGGTGTTCCTTTGAGGTACCTACCTGGTGTGCCTTCTTTCCACCTTTCAGAATCATATGTTTGTTTTATACATACTATAGGATTTTTAGCTGTATTAAGTAGGAGGAATAGGAAAGTGGATGTTTACTCCATCTTCCTGGAAGCTTAAGTCTCCTCAGTACATATGCAAAGAGTGAATTTTCTTAAGTACTCCTGGATAGTTAAAACACCAGGAAAATGATCAAGGTACTTCGCTCACAGACTTCTGTTTTGTGATCTCCTACATCTACCCTCCCCTCTTAACCTATCCAACATTTTGTTTATTCCTATCTTTACCCAATAAGCTCAACTAGGGAGTACGGCTTAATAATCAAGAATGCAGGGGTATAGAAGAAGTTCAAGAAAATGGGTTATCTCCATGTTGTGTCTCAGCATTGAAAGTACAGGTGGCAGCTTCTTGAAAAATTGATGTGATATCAAATGTACCAGCTAGCCAGGCCCAGGAAATCTCAGAAGCTACACATCACGTGCACCATCATCCTGTTGGGCTTTCTAGGCTCTGCAGAAACTTATCAAAAAACTTACCACCCTGGAATATAGGAAAGGTGGTGTAGCTATATAGCATGTAGCACTTAATGAAGGGAGAATTCCCTGCATATGACCCATCTCCCAATCAGAGGTTCGCATATCAGTCTCTTTGGTGTTACTGTAACAGGGGTTAAGTGCTCAGGCTCAGGAATCCAACAGGCCTCCAACACTTAAAATGTGATCTTGCCCTAGTTGCTTAATTTCCTTTGAATTTTTGTCTCTCTGTCTGTTAAGTGGGGATAATAATAGTATCTACCTCACAGGTAGATGAGGAATATGTGAGGTAATGCATGTGAAAGGGTTGGCATGCTGGATGTTATTATTATTGGTATTTAGAGATATTTCACAGATTGGGGGGTGGGAGCTTTACTAGCATCAATTTGGGCACCTTTAAAAAATTATATAAACAAATCCTATACCAAACTGTTCTTTATATTTTAACTTTGGCTTTTCCAAAGTTCTAAGAGACCCTCAAAGGCAATACTCAGCCTTTGTTTTCCTTATTATAGTCCCCACACACACAATTACAGTTTAGAAATTGATGGAACTCACAGACATATGTGAAGAACAGAAAATTTAACTACCCTAAAATTTTCCCAAGTTATCTTGTTTGTACCTCATGCTCTAAGGAGATAAGAAAAGAAAATAATTGATTCTCTTTTAATAATTCTTGATGTATTCAACCATAGGTCTTTCTACGTAACATAACAAAAGCTTAGCAGCAACTACTCAGATCATTTAAGGAGATGCAAGAAATTTGGTTTTGCCTATTGAGAAAAATAGCAGATCTGATCCATATTCTAGTATGAAAAACACTCTGGCACATTTGATCTTAGCCAAAAGGCAGAGAAGCGATTAAAAAAAAAAAAAAAAACAGGCCGGGCGCGGTGGCTCAAGCCTGTAATCCTAGCTCTCTGGGAGCCCGAGGCAGGCGGATTGTTTGAGCTCAGGAGTTCGAGACCAGCCTGAGCAAGAGAGAGACCCCGTCTCTACTAAAAATAGAGAGAAATTAATCGGACAACTAAAAATATATAGGAAAAAATTAGCTGGGCATGGTGGCACATGCCTGTAG